GCCCACCAGTCGGTCCCTCCGTGTCGGGCCTCAGCCCAGCCAAGGGAGCAGCTCGCGCAGTGCTGCTGCAAACAGCCCCAGCAAAACACTCCGAGGGATGCACCGAGCAGAGCCTGCCTCTTCTGTAACTGGTTAGCATCGACATGATTGCGTGGGGGGGTCCCCAGTGCAAATCTGTCCTGCTGCGCGTGGGCTCAGCCCGGCACTCTTTGGTTATGATCAACACAGATATTCAGAAGTGCAGAGGTGAAAGCCTGTGACTGGCTTTCAATATCTGAGCCTGCTTTTCCTCTCTGAAAGATGCCAGTAGACCTCTTTAAAAGGTCAGCTTAGCATGTGAGATGCATTGGCCCCCTTAGATACTTTCAGACATAAACACATATTGCTCTATATGAAAAGAGATGCAAACATAATTTGATAACTAATAATTGCATTCAAAATTTCAGTTTTAAGAATTCATGGTTTTTCCTCTGTTAAGCAAATAAGACCTCAAACCCATTTGACGTGTGTCAATACCTTGCTACCCTGTACATGACTTCCCTGGAGTTTTCATGCCTAAACTTCACTGTGGGGCACAGGTGCAGCTATACAGCTGCCTTGAGCAAGGTTTTAATGTAGTCAGAAAAGCAGCTATGATGGAAACAGCAATCATTTCTTAACAATGATCTGGTAAATAGGGATGCTATTTTTAAGGAAAAAGAGTCTCTAGTGTTCAGCCAGTTGTAAGCACTGATCAGCATCAAGTAGGTTGTTCTTCAGGGGCACTAGCTGTCGGCAATGCTAAATGCTTCAACTGTTTTCACTATTATTAACCATCTTGCCAATTATTTGCCCACTCTGTGCTGGAAAATTGTATTGACTGAGAAAGATTAACCTTCTCCTTCCAGACCTTATTGACTTCAGTATGTATGAGCTGAGAGACAACCGACTCGGGGTGAAAGTCGCTGCAAAGTTCTGTATTTGGCAATGCTGGGTGAGGAACACCTAAGCCCACTGTAGATTTTGCTTTGCAAAGATACAGTTTAATCCAGTATCCAGTGTAGTTTAATCTGTGGCAAAGGTTCTGGTTTTAGGTCAGTTATGAGCCGTTGCTTTTTCTGAGAGTTTTCCTGTTCCCATCTGCCAGGCTGGGCAGAGACCACAGTACGGCAGCACGTCAAGCTTGAGCGAGGTTGCTCTGCTGGCCTTGAAAGATGTCGAGGTCCAGTACATTCTTTCCACACAGCAAAAGATTTTATCCTGATAAATCAGGACATGATGCTCCAAAGCCAGAAAAGACTGGAGCACATTTGGTTGTCAGTACCCCCAAAATGAAGGATTTTTTTTTTTGCCTGGTAAACGAACGGGCACCAGGAAATGTGTTCTGGCACTGGAAGGCCATGAGCTGTTCTGTTCAACCTTCAGAGGGGCCCAGGCTAACCTGCACCCTCCCCAATCGCCCTGGGCCAGGTCAGGAGTCAGTACCAGTTGGCCTTATAATGAGGAATGACTCTGTTTAATTCACTTGCGTAGACAAAGCCTTTGTGAAATCTAAACCCAAGGTGGCTGTTTTTTCCAAAGGGTGGAACTTCCCATTGCACAACCATGTAGGCCTGCTGATAATTGCTTTTCTGGATGATACAGAAACAAAAATCTCTTTGGAGCTGACAATAATGTACAGAGACAAAATAATGGCTTTATTTTATTCTTTTGTACATGCTTTTGAACACAGTGGGTATATCACGAGTATTTGGACGGCTCACTTTTTTTCCCACTTCACTTTTAGTGTGTACAGTGTATTGTGGTTTTAGGGAGATGCCAGATGAGTTGCAGTCTGCAAGGTTATTTCATTCCTATGCATGTAGCAATTCTTCAAACCAAGATTTTAGTCCATTTGTGCTGTGCCCACCTTTGCAGTATGATACTGACAGACACCTCAGAGAGAAAAGGAGCTTCTGGAGGGAGGAGCAGGGGCTGTTTTGGGAGCCACGGTCCTGGAGGCTCGAGCCTTGCACAGGGCGATGGGGAAAGTCCTGAACTGCGAAGGTCTTCCAGGGCATCTGCAGGTCTGCATAGACAGGCTGAGAAGATCTTGCATCATCCGAGGTTTTATTTTGGATAAGCAGTGGGAAAGCAAATTATCCTTCAAACTTTATCACGGAAGAAAGATCTCACTTCATTATTTCAACTGCCTCTTCCTGCATGCTGTGTCTTGTGACACGCCGCGGCATGCTGTTGTGCAGCCTCATCTCACACAGTCCCGTCGGCCGGAGGTGTCCTCCAGCCCGGCCCAGCCGCAGCCCTCGCTCCCCAGCAGCTGCTGCTGGGGCAGCGGGGCAAGATACTAACTTGATGCCACTTTTCAATTTCCTCTTCCTTGATAATTGGGTTAAAATAACGGGTCATTTTCTGTTTCCAAAACCATTACAACTGCCCTCGCTAGCTTTGGCTTGGCTGAATTTAATTATTATTTGCTCTGATACAAATAACAGCAGAAATGGCCTACTGCTTTACATTTTATATCCATATATATATATATCTATACTTGTACTGAAGAACATTATGTACTTTTGAACAGAAGTAACGTTTTTCCATTAATTTTATTAATAACTGGATTTAAAATAGTGTGATATATTGAACTGTGCTGGTAACACAATTTAAGTCCATATTTTGTAGTATTAGTTATAATATTCCAATTTGTTTTTTATAACAAAAATAACTAAATGTTTAAATGGGAGTATGTATTTTATTTTTTTCCTTTGAGTTGGTGCATGAATGAATGTAACTGTAAGCACACAGCAGTAAATATCTCCCTGTGTATTGCAAATGGCTAGGAACAAAGAAGTGATGATTGACTGTTTCAGGGGAGGGAGGTTAAAGTAAATGTCTCTCCTGTATTTGGTAAAAAATTCTGTGTGGTCTTACTCTAAGTAAGTTCATCTGTCTCATGACTTTTCAGATTGGCTGTCATAGTAATAGTAAAAAACCAGAGAGATCAGATATTCTTACTTGGCCATCAGAAGAACAAGGTGGGTTTCGGAGATGTGCTTCAATGAATATTTTGAAATCTGATTATATTCCTCTCCCAGTGCTGCTCTGAGCCAGACAACCGTCTGCTGGCATCGCAGCATTTGTATCCCGGGTTCAAAGGTGCGCAAAACATGAATTTGAACTCTTGGGCTATGGTAGATTCAATGGTAAGCTAAGCTGCAATCATACAGCAAGAAAGCTTGAGAATATACATTTTCTGTCCTGAATTTTCCAGTCCTTGGAGCAGAGAACTTAATATTTTGCACTATTAAAAGCAGATATGCCACAATGTAGGGCCTACATGAGATGACCAAACAGAGGAAGGTGAAGGCACACTGTGTACTGACACAACAAGTATCATTTGCCTTCAGTTAAACAAGGTTTTTCACAGGCCATGCACAAAAATCTGCATCCTTACATGATGGCTCCATGACCATGTGCATTAGGGACCCCGTGTCTCGGACACGGCTGAATCTGCAGGTCTCCATGGCTGAGTGCCTAGGCAGTGCTTCCCACGGGATTGCCCAGGTGCGGCAGAGCCACCAGAGCCCGGCAGAAGGACCGGAATCCCTGGGCAGCGGTTGGTCCTCAGATTCCCCCTGGACAGTGTTTCTGCCTAGGGAAGGAGGACAGGCCTGGTAAAGCGAGTCCTGAAGTTTGCATTTCTGCTGGAGACGGATGGAGCGCAGTGCTCATGCTAGCCCCAGACCCCACTAGTTCCATATGGACCCTTAGGCAGAGGGTTGAGGCTTTAGACTGTAAATTCTTCAGGAGAGGTACCAATTTCACCTCCATCTGCACTTAACCAGTAGCACACAACAGATGAAGACATTTAACAATAAAATTAAAAGCTCTTTATTTAGAAATGTGTTTTGTTGCTGAATTCAGCCTGCCCCAGGATACCCAGCCCTCTGGCTAACCGCCTGCTGCTGAAGGCATTTCCAGCACAAGAGATGCCCGTGCTGTGCCCTCTCACTTAGAGCCTATACAATGCTGGACCTCTCTTGAGAGAGCAGGGGATGTTTTCAAACCTAAATAGCTATAACAGACAAGTAAAAGAGAGCAGGAATTTGGACTAACCCTATGTCCCATCAATTTTTCAAATTCACCTTGTAACTACGCAGCAGTTAATGGCTCCCAGCTCTCTGCTCTTCTGTTCGGCTCCCAGGTCTCTCTTGCTCTCTGCGTTTACAGGAATGTGCAAGTGGGTGAAATGTCCACGCGATGGCAGGTCAGTCCCCAGCAGAAAGGTGACGCTCGGGGACGCTCAGCGCTCCCCACTCGGTGCAGCATGCGGCTCCCAGGCAGATAACCAGCGTAACAGTGCGGTCCCTCCGTATCACCTCCTTCGCTCAAGGGTGTAGAAACACATTAGAACACAAACAAAAGTTGTTATTAAAGCTTGTTAGAATACAAACAAAAGGTTTTATTAAAGTTTATCTTTAAAGCCTGAAATATAAAGTAATTTCTGCAGTCTACCCAGCCTGATACTTAGGGAGGCGGAGTTATCAGCTGATAATTACATCTGCGTGAGAAGATTTTTTCTGAGAGCTTGTCTGTTCTAGACAGGGATCAGAACTATACTGCATGGTCTCTCTGTCCCATCAAAAAGTATAAAATGCCAAATATTTTATCACCTCCCTGTGAGCTGCTCACAAACACGGTACAGGCAGGAATTTTCCACAGGAATTATTCTGAGAGTGATTTCAAATGGAAGAACACCTCGCAGATAGTTACAATCTATTCTTGAAGTAAGCTGAAAAAAACATTGATGAAACTCAGAAAATCAATGTTTCATCAGGAAGTTCACCGGGTGGCTTCATTAGCGAGCTTTAGTTTTTAAGCACTTTCTCTGGGTGATGCTATTCTTGTGATTAGCTGTATCTTTCCTAGTGATGGGTATTCATATCAAGAAATCATGACTTAAATTGCTTGACCAAATGGGAAGGAATGTTAGCTTTTTTTCTGAAAAGAAGAGATTATAAAATCGCAGCTTTAACAGGCAAAAAAAAAAAAATCTAGTTTCAATTAAGATAAACAGAAACAGTAGTTAGATAATATTCTTGGTCTTTGAGAATATAACAACAACATAATTTCCAGATTAAAAAAAAAGTCTATGTGAAAGTGTGTATACCCAAACCGAGGGGAAAACCATTCCAGGGTTGTTGCAATTATTTTGAGCCAAAGCTGGAACCACCAGCTCAAGAAAAATCAATGTTACGATTAAATGTGACAGAGAGCCAAACAACATTTTAAAAAATACGAGCAGCTTTTCCTCCGTTATGTACTGACAGCTGGAGACTTTGGTTTCTAAGATTTTGTACCATTTGAACAGTACCAAGAGCCACTGTTTCTCCAAGGCCGTGTGGTGGGATTACACCAAACCCTTGTGGTACGCAGTGTGAAGCCAGGAAGGCGATGCTGGCCACTAAGCGTGCCCCGCAGAGCAGCCCTGCCCACCCGCAGGCTGGAAGTCTGAGGATGGCGTGATCGGGTGGATTTGTCCTCATAGGACACTTCAGGTGTCCTTCCTCCCCTCTGCCAAGCATGGTGGCCACCCAGAAGTAAAAGCCCAGGAGCTCCTGACAGGGTTTCACAGCTTTCACAGTTTGGTGATGAGTCTCTGGTCCTTCTGCCTTCCCAGGGACCTCTTGGGCTGATGTCAGCCAACTCCTGCCCTGCCCAGGCTGAGAAACCCAAACGCAGGCAGGCTGGGAGAGCTGCCGGTTCCCAGGGACTTCCAAAGAAAATCCCTGTTGTCCTTTGAGGTCTGCAATGCCAAACCTTTCTTTAACCTAGCTAACACTACAAAGCCAGTGCAATCCCTTCCCTCTGCCTGGTGTTCGAGTATTTTGTGATCTCTTTCCACAGCAGGTTTAGTTGAAGCTGGCCAGCAGGTGTTAGCCTCTAAGTTGCTAGTGAGGGATACGTGGGCACGAATCCCCACGGGAAAGCAGCATAAATAAGACACAGAGTCATGGCTGCTACAGGTGCTCCTTAAATTCCGCTTCACCATTGACTCCCAGCTGCCTCGCTGCCACTAACAGCCCTTTCGAAATTATTTATGTTTTGGAGCAAAAATCCAATCTCTCGCCTTACACCAGCGTGTGCTGTTGTTGGTTTGGTAACCTTTCTCTGCTCTCTCTGCTCTGCTAGTCTTGAACACAAGCAGAAATGACACAGGAAAGCCAAGGAAAACCTGCAGACCGTGTCCTTTATAGCACAGTCCCTGCTTCCATTTGGAAACCGACGCGAGCTGACGCTTGGAGGTGCCTGGCAGAGGATTCCTGCATCAGATGGACAAAAGCAGGGGGTGCCATGAGTTACATCCCCTCCCTCCCGCTGCAGAGAGCCATGGCCATATGGGAGCTGCCGTGGGAGGGGAGCAGGGGAAGGGCACCCCGTTGGAAATGGCGGAGATGAAAACTCCTGCAGCACCCTCATATGGTGCCGAGAAATGTCAGACACCCACAGGCAGTAAAATAGACAGGATAAAAATCCAGGTAGCTTAGTATCCTGTCTCCAGCCAGCTGAGTAAAGCTTGCATGGAGAAACAGTGCGTGAATGGAGTTGTCCTGTGAAAGCCTGACAGGCAGGTGATGTGCTGCTTTTTTTCTGCAGGGCAGCAGGGTGTCCTGCTCCTCCTTCTCCTGCCACAGTCAGAGCCCGTGAGGACAGGGGAGAGAAGCGTCAGCCACCCCCCATGCAAGGCGGGCAACCTTCGAAGGGATGGAGCGGGCACGGGATGCAGCTGGCAGGGGCTGCGGCACGGGGCTGGGTCTCAGCTGCAGGCAGCAGGTCTCAGAGGGGGAAGGAAGAAGAGAGGGTTTATAGGAATCTGTGGAGATTGTTGCAGAGATTAAAAAGGCTGATGGGCTGAGGGCAGGATGGGAAGACAGGAGGATGCAGTGGAAGGTTTTTGTATCCTCAGAGCCTGGGCCATTCAGGGGGTCTTCTTGGGCCATTTGGGGTCTTGCCGTTCCTCCCAGGAATCCCCAGAGCTCCTGTTGAGACCAGTGACGGCTCCTGGATCCATCCCCCCATTGCTTTCCCTGGCTCCTTGTGAGCTGATTTATTCATTAGCCTCCACAACAGCCTCTGGTAATGAGTTCCTCCATTTAGCAATTTGTTGTGAGAAATGTCGTCCTCTTTTAGACCTGCTGCTGGATCATTTCAGTGGGTGTCTCCTTGTTCTTAAATTGTACAAAGTAACATTTAGTTTGTCTCTGTTCATCTCCAGATCACTGATGGTTTTCCAGACCGCTGTCATCACCTCCCTCAGTCATTCTTTTTCCAGTTTGGAGGCCTAATGTGTTCTGTCTCTCTTTCTACACCTCTGCTGAGCTGGGAGCAAGAGCACATGTGATATTCACACACAGTGGGTGTGCGCTAGATTTATAGAGTCCTCTATGTACAAATACAGTCACCCACTGCTAATCTCTGCTTGCTTCTTCCATCTGTACTGAGCATTACGCTGATGCTTCCTGGGCGGGTGCCGCCGCTGAGTATGTGTCACTGGCTTGGATGTGTATACATCGTTTATCTTTCCCCATGCATCACTTTTCATTTACCAGAAATGAATTTCCACCATTGTATGGCTTGGTCCTTTGTGTCCTGCGATTTTTATGCAATCCGTGGCAGTCAAGTATGTCGTGTAACACCGGCCTCAAAGCAGGCTGCTCTCAAAATCTTCATCTATTGATTGCTACAGGCATCAACAGCAGATTGCCTTTGCATCGTGTATTCCAAACAGTTAAAACCCAACACCGAGCCGTCACCTCCCTTGTCTTGTGACAGCTTAGTTTGTCCAAGAGCCTCCAGCGACTAGCCTTGTTTAAAACACTTCTGTAAACAAACAGATGAGGATGCAGCACCCTTACCTACCCATCCATCCATCCATCCATCCATCCATCCATCCATCCATCCATCCATCCATCCATCCATCCATCCATCCATCCATCCATCCATCCATCCACCCACCCACCCACCAACCCACCTACCCACCCACCCAAGCACCC